GCCGTCCAATGACCAGCCCCCCTTACCCCTGCTGCTTCTGCACAGGCTTCATCACACTGCCTATCTCTTTGCTCCACTAAAGCCAGGTTATCTTTTAGCTCCAAATTATTTTAACTCTGTCCTCCTTACCTTTGCTAATACTGCACTGCCTAGTTGTAATTCAACATTCTCTTTACACAATCTAGTTCCTATTAAGCTTCAACCACTTAGAATTGAATGCTGTTATATTTGTGCCCCTGACCAGACATTTTGTACAAATTTCTTCATTTTTCTTTCTTATCTTCTTCCACTGGACTTTGAGCCCTTCAAGGGCAGAAGAGTGTTTTAGTCACCCTTTTAGCCATACCACCAAGCAGCTGTTATAGAACGCATTTAGGAAAATGTATGTTGAATTAAAGAAGACTGAAGGGCCCAGTGTAGTAATGCTGAAGTCATAAAATTCTGTTTAAAGTACAGCCACAGGAATTGGCACGGTGACCTCTCCTGGCAGCAAATCTCATTTATTACTATGAACTGCATAAAGGAATTGTCCTTATTTGTTCAAAATTCAATGTCCTTTAATCTGGTGAATTGAATTAAGGAATTTATTCTTATTCATGGAATTCAATTTTTTAATATATCTAACAAATTCATTCAGAGTCCAGGAAAGTTTTCTTCTTGATAAGTAATGCTCCATTTTCTATTTTACTATTCCTTTTATTTATAACTAGAGGCCTGGTGCACAAAATTCGTGCACTGGGGGAGGGGTTGTCCCTCAGCCCAGCCTGCACCCTCTCCAATATGGGACCCCTTGGGGGATGTCCGACTTCTGGGTTAGGCCCAATACTTGCCTAAACCGGCAGTCAGACATCCCTCTCACAATCCGGGAGTGCTGGCTCCCAACCGCTCGCCTGACTGTCTGCCTGATTGCCCCTAACCACTCCCCTGCCAGCCCTATTGATGCCTAACTGCTCCCCTGCTGGCCTGGTCCCCCCAAACTGCCCTTCCCTGTAGGCCTGGTCGCTCCCAACTGCCCTCCCCTGCAGGCCTGGTCACCCCTAACTGCCCTCCCCTGCAAGCCTGGTTCCCCCAACTGCCCTCCCCTGCAGACCTGGTTGCCCCCAACTGCCCTCCCCTGCCAGCCATCTTGTGGCTGTGGGCGCCACCATCTTTGAGGGTGGGGTAGTCAATTAGCATATTCCCTCCTTATTGGCTGTGGGTGCTGCCATCTTTGAGGGTGGGACAGTCTATTAGCATATTCCCTCCTTATTGGCTGGGCACTGCCATCTTTGAGGGCGGGGCAGTCAATTAGCATATTCTCTCCTTATTGACTATGGGTGCCGTCATCTTTGCAACAGCATGAGGGTCAATTAGCATATTCCCTCTTTATTTAGATAGGATATCATACAGTGTTTTTGTAATTTTTTATACTATCTTTAATCAATTGGTTCAACAATAATTAAACCAATTATAAAATATAAATATGTCTCCATAATTTCCCCTTTGGTAAATTTTACCCAAAATAAATGAAGTATTTTATATAAATAACTACCTAATTTATATTTTCCAAATGGACTCTTTGCAAAAGAAAAGAATAATCTACCCTACGCAATGGCTCAGAAATTCATTTGTGAAATTAGTGAATAGGATTTTATACTTTATTCAACTATATCACGAATCCAAACATTTCTCTCCAGTGTCGTTGCCACCAAACTTACATCCACCATCTTCTCCCAACTGACCTACTACAATAGTCTTTAGACTGGCTACCTCTTCTGGGTTTGTCTCTATACTATCCATTGAACATTTGAAATGATCCTTTCACATTTTAATCACTTACCCAGTCAAATCCCTCCAATCACCATTGTACAATGAATAAAGTCTGAGCTTACAAAGGCTTATGAAACCCAACATGACCTGGCCACCGGCTGCCTGTCTACCTCACTCTCCACCCCACCACCACCGTGCTCTGGGTCACTATGCGATCTGGTTTTCCCTCCTCCTTGAACATGCTGTGCTGGTTCCTGTCCTGAGCTTTTGTACCTAGTGTCTCCTATCCTTGCCATGCCTGATCCTGGAGATACAGCTGAGTTCTTATCTTCAGATCAGCTTTCTTCAAGAGGCCTACCTTCCCTGACAGCCTCCACTCAAGGGGGCTGCCCAGTCCTGCTGTGGGCTGCTCTGCCCCTGACATCTCTCACAGCTCTTTCTCAGCTCTGTCTCTGCCTAATGGTCCAGCTAAAACAGTCTGCCCTGGATCTTGACATTCAGATCCATCAGAGTCCCCAGTGTTACAATCATGGCTACCTCCCTCTTCTGACACCTCGTTAAAGCTGAAAAATCTCACACTCCTCTGTAGCTGAGCCCCTTCACTTCCTGTAGGCCAGTATGTCTCAGCCCACTATCCATGCCACACAATAACCAGGGGAGACTTGGGATCGCAAACTGAGTTTATGTGTACCTGGCACCCTTGTGACAATACTGAGTCACTATGTGTTAGCATGGGATTACTGAGCATAGTAATCCCTTCCCAAAATCATCGGCAAAATCCTGAGAATTCCCTCATGTAGAAATTTCTAAAGCTACTCCCACCAGACGTTTGACCTCAAGAAGCCGAGAGGAGCAAACAAGAGCTGTGACAGCCACTTTTCTCTTCCAATGTGGTCTTCTTTCTCTCCACTTCTGTTATATCTCAAAATAAAACATGAAGAAGTCTCTCTTCCTATTGCTTTCTGCATGATTTGAAACCCCTTTATATGAAATTCCATAAAAACAGTCATTTGTGCTTGCCGAATAACATCAAGATGACAAGTAAACTCAGTTAGTGAATCACCTTAGTGTTTTATGCTTATATTCCTAAGCATTGGATCTTGGCAAAACATCCCAATAGTAGACTAATCCATCAAGTCTAGACTTTATATGTAAGAGGGGATTAAAGGAATTTAGAAATCATTTTTTCTCAAGACCGAATGACTCTAAACCATCTATCAAAGTGGATGATACGAACTGAGTGTCTTGTGCCCGTCTCTGCCCCATGTCAGATGGATGCCTTTACTGCCCTAGGAGGAAAGACAAATGTTTAGGAAATCAGAAGAGAAAAATGTCTTATCATCATTTGAGTTAGACACAAATGTGCGCAATGGAATAGAATGGTTGTTTCCCTACATATAATACAAAAAGCAAGATAAAGATGATAACTATAGTCAAATAAAACTTCACAAAAAATCTATAATAAAAGCATAATATGCTAATTAGACTGGACGTCCTTATGGATGAAACCGGGGCTGCAGGGAGGCCCTGGTCCCGGGTGCCAGAGGGAAGCTGGTGCTGGCAGTCTCTAGTAATAACAATAAAAGAGTAACTCCATAACTTGAGTGTTATTTATTCTGCATTATGAGCATTAAATCATAGCTATGATTTAGGAGATGCACATATGTGTGCATGAATGCTTGCATGCATGTGTACACACATGCACGTATGCACACACGTGCACACAAATACACACATACACACACACAAATCTGAGTTGCCAAATAGATGATAGGACTCAGGCCACTTGCTGGCCCTAATCATTTGCTCTCATTCTAGATCAGATTCAAAATATTTGATTTTCTGACTTTCCAGCAAAAAAACATTTTGAAAGCATCAAATCAGATGTTGTATGGTAAAAACAGAGCAAGAATGGCATTTGAAGCTGAGACAGAATATTATTGTTAAAAAATTAACATTTGCTCAAATATAATAGTCTATAACCAGTTGAAATAGGTGTGAATGCTCCTTTTCTATTTTTAATAATATTAAATATATTGAACTTTTATGTGAAGATATATAACCAACACATTATGTAAGTTATATGCAATAATTGTTTGTAGTTTTGGTAATTTAAAAACTTCAAGCACAAGATCTGTACAGTTTCAACAGAGGAATTTGATCTACTTTATAAAACATTTTTTTTTATCAAATTGAGGTTCAAATAGTGTTGAAAGTAGATATCCAGGCGAGATTATCTTATAAACAGTGTCCAGGAGGCCATATGCAACTGAAAACTTTTCTGAGTAGACACTTGGGTTAGGGCTGACTAAACCCCAGCTCCCCAGCTATAATGTCTAGCTTCTTATATGGACTAGTTGTTTGATTGATCAGAACCCTATAAAATGGGGATAATAAAACCCACCTTACAGAATTACTGTGATGATTAAATGACAATTACATACACCAGAAAACATTCAACAATTGATACAGAATGTAGGCATATTATTCATCTATTATGTTTTATACCTTTGAGAAAATATTATTAGGTAAGATTTGGTTTTAAAGACAAGACAGACATACCATCTATCGTCTATGTTTTGATTATTTTTAAATGTGTTTAAATACAACATTGAAGTATAAATAAAGTACTAAATTAGGGGAAAATTAAGTTATTTTTCCTTCAAAGGTCCCACCTCCCAATATCATTATCTAGGCATTAGGATGTAACATATGAATTTGGGAGTGGAGGAGCGGGAGTACCAACATTCAAATCATATCAGCTGTCATAAATCAACATGAAAATTAGAGATGTCTAGACAAATCATCCAATTATTTGGTCTTTATTTTGTTAAGCATTCAAATAATTATAAACATCCAGATGATTTATAAACTTTTTTTATATTTTATTTTTGTATTTTTTGTTGTTTTGTTTTGTTATGAACTTACCGGGTAATGTATTCTGTAAATAGGAAACATAAAAAATAGAAACCATGAAATATATTTAGTTAACAAGATATACTCATTTCCTTAGAGTTTCAATTACAACATTCAGTCTTTTTAGTAATACTTATTTTATTAAGTGATTCAATGGAATTTTCCTAAAAATTAAAAGAAATGATAAATTAATATAAACAAGGGACATAATATACAAAGAAAGATCTATGGTAGTAAAATGAGTGATTTATTTTAGCTTTTTTTTTTTTTGGTTATTTATTTACGTATGTAGTACATCCAGCACATTTAACTAACAGTTTTTTTTCTCTTTCCCAACAGATTAAAAATATACTAATTCAAGAACTTTAAAATATAGTGGAACAGCATAACAACTGTCTATGTGCTTCCCATGATATGGTCTCTATATTGTAAGTATATATATTTATATTCCCAAGCTACCTTGATTGTGAAAGAAATGTGTTCAATTAGGACTTATAGATAACTTTGATTGTTTCAAAAAAGTACAAGCTATAACTCATCCAAAATATTTTAGTTTTAGAAGGTTATCTTATATGAAGATGTGTTCTGCAAATTTAGATCTAACATTGTATTAAAGTTAAACCTTAATATAATTGTCATGCTAGATTAATATACCCATTATGATAGACTTTTAAAATAAATATTATACTTAATATGCTGAAGATTTTTATACTGCTCTTTAGTTTTCTAAAAAAATTTTAAAAATATTTGACATGCAGCCCTGGCCAGTGTGGTTTAGTTGTTAGAGTGTCAACCTACAAACAAAAGGGTTCTGAGTTCAATCTCCAGTCAAGGGTATGTACCTGGGTTGCAAGTCCCCACCCTAGTTGAGGCTCTTGCAGAGGCAACCAATCAATGTGTCTTCCTTACATCGATGTCTCTCTCTCTCTCTCTCTCCCTCTCTCTCTCTCTCTCTCTTTTCCTCTCTCCCTCTGTCCTGCCCTTCCACTCTTCCACTTTTTCTAAAAAAAAAAATCAATGAAAAAATATCCTCCGGTGAGGATTAACAAAAAATAAATAAAAATGTATACATGCAGAATTGTACGCTAAAGTATTAAAATTTATTGAAATGTTTAAAAATATAATGTTTACTATTTCAAGGTTAGATCAATTTTTACCATATTAATTATCTTTTTGAAAAATTGTTTTAGTTCTGGCAAGATACATAGCACTAAATCATATGTATATATATATATATATATATATATATATATATATGCTAGTAACATATATATATGTGTATATATGAATGTGTATATACACACAATTTATTTAATAAACTAAATAAAAAGTAAAGTGATCTTTGTTCAGTAATGAAAACTTTTACCATTCATTTCATATTGCTTAAAAGCAGGGAGAGAAGTGAAAGGTTGGAATACTATGCTTTGTTTTTTAGTTGAGTACTAAGCACTAGGTACTTACGGCAGTGGGAAGAAAAGGAGGCAGCTCAATCCCTTTTTCCTCAGAAGAAAGTGAGCCATGACTGAGCCCTTATTAGTGAACAGTGTTCCCAAAATTTATACACTTTTAGGACATCAGAAGATGTTGTTCCTGCACAACACCTGATTCCACCAGACCTACGATACCCATCTCAAGCATCACTCTCCATTCACTCAGCCCTTTTCTTGCTGGAAACCCTGTCTGAGGATTAAAAAATATGTCAAAAGGGACTTGAAATTTAGTGAGCCTCTATTCTCCACAAAGGCAGGAGAATGACACGTGCCTGATTATTCTGGGGGCGTTGGAAGTCAGGGTGGAGAGATAGGTCATTAGCATGCCATTTTAGAACACCAAATCAATGCCTTTTGACAGAAAATATAATTTAATAACAATATATGGTTCTAAAGCAATGATAACTAATAGAAATATAATGTGAGCCACACATGTAATTTAAATTTTTCTTGTGGCCACATTTAAAGAAGTTAAAAAAAGAGCAAGTATAGTGGGTTTTAATAATAAACTTTATTTAACCTTACATAATGAAAATACAGTCATTTTAACATGATCAATGTAAAAATTGTTAATGAGCCATTTAACTTTTTTTTAATACTAAGTCTTTGAAATCCAGTGCATACTTATATCACATCTCATTTTGGATACTAAATTTTAATTGTATATACTTGACCTGCATTTAAATTTCAATAAAATTTACAGTTAAAAAGAGTAGATTCAAAAAGGCAAGATGTTCCACACATACTTAAAAGATTTTCAATAACTAAATTGAGTCTCAGTTTTAAATTTAAATTAATTAAAATGAAATGTCATTTAATTTATACTACCCACATTTCAAGTACTCTGCAGTCCCATGTGTCTAATAGTTTTTGTATTGGAAAACTATTTTCCAGAGGATTGTTGATCAATGTTATAATTCTGCTACCAAATGACTTCTCTAGGCTGATATCAGAGCTCACCAATAAAGCATATAACTTTAAAATTTCAATGAGGAAATATGTCAAATCTTACCCCTCTGACTAAAATGACATTTTATAGAACAACATGTTTTTGAGAAATTATGGATGAAATATACAATGTCTAAATCTCCAAGCTGTGAGATACATTGAAATGTTTTTATAATTTGATTCAGTGTACATGTTCTGTTGTACTCTACAAGAATTAACAGATCACAGCCATTCCCATTACAGGGTGAATGAAAAGCAACACATATATAAATAAATAAAAAATATTTGTAACATGCCTCTGTGAGAAAAGCTATTAAAAGAATGTCAATATAAGCTTCAGATTTGTAAGTCACATAGCTGATAAAGGATTTATATCCAAAATCTACTATAAAGAATTGTTAAAACTTAATAATAAGAAAACAAACAACTCAATTAAAAAAAAAAAGATATGAATGTCACCAAAAAGAAAAATGTATGGATGGCCAATAAGTAGATGGAAGGATTTTTAATATCGTTAGTTAAGAGAGATGCAAAATTAAAATTATAATGAGATACCATTAGACACCTATTAAAATGGATTTTTTCCATCTGACTATCAAATACTGGTGAGCATGCAGTCACAGGGACTCTCCTTCATTGCCGATGGAAATGAAAAAATGATACTGCCACTGTGGAAAACTGAGTGCTGATTTTTTAATATAGTTAAACATACACTTACCCTATGATCCAGCAATCCCACTCTTAGTTTTTTACCAAAGTGAAATTAAAACTTATTTTTACACCGAAACCTATATGTAAATATTTATAGCATTTTTATCTGTAATTACCAAAATGTTCTTCAAATGGTGAATCTAGCATAGCTATACAATGAAATACTGCTCAACTATAGAAAAGAAGCAATATTGATTCATGCAATATCATGTATACATCTTAAATGCATTTTGCTAAGTGAAAGAAGCAGACCCAAATTACTGAATATTCTATGATTTCATATGTATTAAATTTTAGAAAAGACAAAACGTAATCCAGGAAACACATCAGTGGTTGCAGGGTTTAGATATTGGAGAGTTGACTCCAAAGTGGTAGCATGAGGAATTCTGGGGTTGATGGAACTGTCTGTATGGTAATGTGGTGCTAGACAAATGCCTGTGCACTCATCAAAACCCACAGAACTGTACAACACAAAGAGTTAGGTATATAGTATGCAATTCAAAATAAGAAAACCGTTAGGATGTTGGAATATCTCAAGATGGAATAGAAATTGTGACAAGTAAATCTACCAAATTACCAATGTAAGACATAAACTCACTGAAGGCCTGGGAAAGGGGAAGTTTGGGGGAGGGTGGTGCGAAATGATTTAGCCTATGTAACTTTGAGAAACAGTTTTGACAGGACAAAGACTAAGAATAATGCTAAAGAGAAAAATAACCATACATAGACCTTGTACTCTATTTGATAGTTTATTTTATTTTTAATTGAATTTATTGGGGTGACATTGGTACACAAAACAGGTTTCAAGTGAACAACTTAATAAAACATCATCTGCACACTGCATCATACACCCATAGCCCTAAGCAAAATCTCTTTCCATCCCCATTTTTCCTCCCTTGACCACCTTTACCTACTCCCAGCCCACTTTCCCTCTGGCTATCATCACACTATTTTCTGTGTCTATGTGCTATAAAGATATGGGGTTGGTTTTTTTTTGCTTAATCCCTTCACCTTCTTTCATCCAGCCCTCCAACACCCCTCCTGTCTGACAGCTGTCAATCTGTTCCATGTACCCATGTCTCTGTTTCTATTTTGTTCATTAGATTCCACATATAAGTGAGATCACATAGTATTTGTCCTGGCTTATTTCACTTAACACAATAATCTCCAGGTCTATTTATGCTGTCACAAAAGGTAAGATTTCCTTCTTTTTTATGGCTGAGTAGTCCACTGTGTAAATGTACCACAGCTTTTTTTATCCACTTGTCTACTTATGGGCACTTGGGATGCCTCCAAATCTTGGCTATTATAATAATGCTGCAATGAACACAGGGGTGCATATATTCTTTTGAGTTAGTGTTTTGGATTTCTTCAGATATATTCCCAGAACTGGAATCGCTGGGTCAAAAAGCAGTTCCATATTTAACTTTTTTGAGGAAATTCCATACTCTTTTCCACAGTGGCTACATTCCCACCAACAATGCAGGAGGGTTCCTTTCTCCACAACTTGTTTGTTGATTTATTGATAATAGCCATTCTGACTGTTGTGAGATAATATCTGCTTGTGGTTTTAATTTGCATCTCTCTGTTCATTAATGACTTTGAGCATTTTCTCATATGTCTATTGGCCATCTGTACATCCACTTTGGAGAAGTGTCTGTTCAAGTCCTTTGCCCATTTTTAAAATGTGGTTAATTGTCTTCTTGGTGTTGAGTAGTATAAGTTCTTTATATATTTTTGAAATGACCCCTTATCAGATGTATCATTGGAAAATATGTTCTTCCATTCAGTGGGCTCCCTTTTTATTTTGTTGATGAAGAAACCATTTGCTTGTGCAGAATATTTTTGGTTTGATGCAGTTCTACTTGATAATATTTCTCACAGGTGTACAAAGTATTAATTATGAAATTTCTTTGAATACATACTAGGGTGAAACACATAAATAAATACATTGTTAGTAATCAAAGTTACAAATAAGCAAAATGAAGTAGTTAAAATTAACATTGTAATGCTACATAAGAGATGAAGACATCAATATGAACTCATTTTTATTTTAGTATACATACAGATCGATACAAAATAAGGGTAGCTATGTATGCATAGATGGGTATATATACATTACATATATTAGCTCTACCTCTTGAAAGGTCCTAGAAGTAGTAACACCACTGTCACAGTGAGCACATCTCAAGTTGATTTATTTTCAAAATATTTTCCAACAAAAAAGTAACCAGGAAAAATGGCTGATTCAAGATGTAGGGCTAGAAAAATACAAGATG